CGAGTCAATGCATGGGGCGCGCTTCTTCACAAAATTAGATCTCCGGAGTGCGTACAACCTGGTGCGTGTCCGAGAGGGGGACGAGTGGAAGACAGCATTCAGCACAACCACGGGGCAATACGAATACCTGGTGACAGGGCCTTCAGTAACCTGAGGGTTCTGTTCACCTCAGCCCCGGTACTGGCCCATCCCGATCTATCACTACCATTTGTAGTGGAGGTAGATGCGTCCGAGGTAGGGATAGGCGCTGTCCTATCTCAACGCTCGGGCACGCCACCCAAGCTCCGCCCCTGTGCCTTCTTCTCCAAGAAGCTCAACCCGGCGGAGCAGAACTACGACGTTGGTGATCGGGAGCTGTTAGCTGTTGTCGGAGCCCTGACCATGTGGAGGCACTGGCACGAGGGAGCGAAACACCCTTTCCTCGTCTGGACCGTAACCTGGAGTACATCCTGGCAGCAAGGAGGCTGAACCCTCGCCAGGCCAGGTGGGCCCTATTCCTCACCCGGTTACGCACAGAGCCATCTCCACCTCAGTGTCCAGCTGGGCTGCAGTACGTGCCTTCTCTTGTCCGTGACACGTCCCCCTCCTTTGGTCACCCAGGTATCGGTCGTACAGTGCGCTGCCTGACTGGAAAGTACTGGTGGCCTACCTTGGCTAAGGACGTGAGGGTGTATGTCTCCTCCTGCTCGGTGTGCGCCCAGAGTAAGGCACCTAGGCACCTCCCAGCGGCTAAGTTACAGCCCTTACCAGTTCCACAACGGCCATGGTCCCACTTGTGTATTGACTTCCTTACTGATCTTCCCCTCTCTCAAGGTAACACCACCACCCTGGTTGTTGTGGACCGCTTTTCCAAAGCCTGCCTCCTCCTTCCACTGCCCGGTCTCCCCACGGCCCTGCAGACTGCGGAGGCCCTGTTTACACACGTCTTCCGGCACTACGGGGTGCCAGAGGACATACTGTCTGACCGGGGTCCCCAGTTCATATCCAGGGTCTGGAAGGCGTTCATGGAACGTCTGGGGGTCTCGGTCAGCCTGACCTCTGGTTTTCACCCCGAGTCTAATGGGCAGGTGGAACGGGTGAATCAGGATGTGGGTAGGTTCCTGCGGTCCTACTGCCAGGACTGGCTGGGGAGTGGTCTGTGTTCTTGCCATGGGCCGAATATGCCCAGAACTCTCTCTGCCACTCCTCCACTAACCTAACGCCATTTCAATGTGTTTTGGGTTATCAGCCAGTTCTGGCACTGTGGCATCAGAGCCAGTCCAAGGCTCTTGCGGTGGATGACTGGTTTCAGAGCGCAGAGGAGACGTGGAACGCTGCTCACGTCCACCTCCAACGCGCCGTGCATCGGCAGAAGGCCAACGTTGACCCCCACCGCAGGGAGGCCCCGGTCTTTGTACCGGGTGATCGGGTCTGGCTCTCGACCCAGAATCTGCCCCTCCGCCTGCCCTGCCGGAAGCTGATCCCGCAGTTTGTGGGGCTGTTCAGAGTCCTGAGGAGAATAAACAAGGTTACTTATAGGTTACTACTCCCTCCAGATTACCACATTAACCCCTCGTTCCATGTGTCTCTCCTCAGGCCGGTGGTGGTTGGTCCGCTCCAGGAGTCTGAGGTGTGGGAGGTCCCTCCGTCCCCTCTGGACATCGAGGGGGCCCGGCGTACGCCGTCCGTTCCATCCTGGATTTGAGGCGTCGGGTGGGGGGGCCTTCAGTACCTCGTGGAGTGGGAGGGGTACGGTCCGGAGGAGCGGTGCTGGGTCCCGGTGAGGGATAACCTCGATCCCTCCCTGTTGCGGGATTTCCACCGTCACCATCCGGCTCGCCCTGCTCCGCGTCCTCCTGGTCGTCCCCGAGGCTGGTGTCGGCGCGCTGCTGGAGCTGCGTGTCAAGGGGGGGTACTGTCACGACTTCCTCCGAGGCTGCCTCCTCTCCTTGTTCGGGAAGGCTTCGGCGTTCGTTGTCACTGGCCTTCTAGCCACTGCCGCTCCTCATCTCATCATTCCATTTGTTTTGTCTTGTTCATTACACACACCTGGTTCATATCCCCTCATCAGTACCTGTATAAGTGTTCCCTCTGCCCCCTTGTCTTTGTGTGTGATTGTTTATTGTGGAGGTTCGATTAGCTTGGTGGAGCTCTTTGTTATTTTGTATCGCCAGGTTATTTTCACCCGTGTGCTTCGTTGTTTTTCAGTGCGCCTGTTTTGCCGCACTGAAGTGTTTGACGCATTGCTGCGTCCTACTGTGTTTCGGAATAAACCTTTTATTCTGTGATTTGCCCTCCTGCGCTTGACTCCTTCAAATCACCCATCACATATGGGTAGTTTCTGCGCACCGCCATGTTTGTTTTTTCGCGTCAACCAAAGATAATAAGAGGAGACAAGATGAGTTTGGTCTGTTTGCAGTTTGCATGTTGAAGGGGGTGTGTCGTTTACAATCATTCACTTCACTTCCCTTCATTCACTTCCGGAAGTTCATTTGAAAGATGAGTGAACCATTCCTTCACCTCATTATAACATCTTTGGTCTGACGGACGTTTACGTGACACCCAGAATGCATTGTATAATGTCAACAAACATAACGCCACACATAGCTGGCAAATAGCTTACCATTAGCTCATTATAATCAGTACAACCATCAAAAAAGTATTTTACACACATCATAGGTGTCCATTACAAGCTATGCAATAATCGGAAAGCATTATTTGTCACCAGTACTTGAAAACATGTTAATAAAACTGTAAATACATTATGCTCCATACATACATACTGAATGCTACAGTACAAACGACAACACGATATACAGAAAATAAGGCACTTACTTCGATAGGAACGCACACATGTCCAAAGTTATTATTTGTAAGGAAAACAACAATGCGAGCGCCTGCCAGAAAATGTGCCAGTTCGTGCAAGACTGCGCAAATGTCTGCATACTTGATGTGTGGAAAAAATGGGGAAGGGCTCTCCTCGAAGAGGGAAGTTTGTCCGGCTCAGTAAAGCCTCAAACGTAAATTGTCCACAACACTGAAATGGCCTTCTTCTATGTGAATTAATGAGGAGGCGCCACACACCTCAATTCAAACTGTTCTTAGAAAATACAACTTGTTATAAAATAATTTGAAATTGGCAAGTTGAAACATAGCCTATAGATAATTAGCAGGTAGCATGTGTTACCTGTCCTGTTGCGTAACAATCACGTTTTGGAACAGTCAGTGCATTCTGACATCAAGTGCATAAAAGGCTCTGTCGTAGCCGGTCGCGACCGGGAGACCCATGGGGCGGCGCACAATTGGCCCAGCGTCGTCCAGGGTAGGGGAGGGAATGGCCGGCAGGGGATGTAGCTCAGTTGGTAGAGCATGGCGTTTGCAACGCCAGGGTTGTGGGTTCGATAAAATAATGTATGTGCTAACTGTAAGTCGCTCTGGATAAGAGCGTCTGCTAAATGACTAAAATTTAAATGTAAATGTAATAAAACATCTCATGCTGGGGTGACCTTTAGAGATATTTGGAACTCACTTGTGAAAAGGTTCAGGTATCTAGTATTAGTGTATCAAGTTTGATACTTGTATCATAAAATGGAACGATTTCGTGTATATTTGGTTCTTATCTGCTGGGCTGAACCTTCTCTTCACTCACATGTGGTCATAGCATGTGCTCCATCTCTCTCTCGTTCTCTCTGTCTCGCGCTCTCTCGCTCTCTCTCTCTGTTTAATTATACAATACTTGTCTCTTAGTTTCTACTTCAACCGTGTACAAATGGACAGGAAGGATACAAAATGTTTGACATCATGATTAAGGTGTATTTGTCCTCCTCTTACCTTCTATTTTCCCTCTCAAGAATGAGAAAAAAATCATGTTTGTACAATACAACACATTAAATGTAGGAATAATATATTTTATAATTTATGAAATGGTTTCGGTTCAGGACTTCCAACTGGGCCAATGTTAATAATGCAACATATTTCTTGTGAATTAGTTTTGAATTCAGTTCAATGATGTTGGATTACTTGTCAGAAAAGAGCCTGCTCAGATTGATGCTTTGAAATGAGTGGAGTAAGTAAATGAGTCCAGCAGGCAGCAACCATAGCAAATCAGCCATTCAAAACCAATTAAAATATTTTTCCAATGGGAGAGAAGGACAGGATTCCTTCCACCCTTGTGACCCATGGCCCAGTGCCAGACTCTCTCTCTCTCTCTCTCTCTCTCTCTCTCTCTCCCTTTCTCTGCCCAGTGTTTGTTATCTACTGTGGGCCTCTCAGAGTCCCTCCCTCCCTTCCCCCTGATAAAGACTGCGTTTCCTCTCTGAGCAAGGAAGAAGATAAAGGATGAACATAAACTTACACTTGGTTCATCATAAAAAGGAGGGAGCATGATCGTTTATAGGCGTACCTGCTATTTATTACTCCATTAATCGTGTTCAATATTACCTGTGAATGCTATACTAAAAACACATTACACTTTAATATTCATACAATGTAGCCTAACATCTCTGCTTTCATCTTCACTGTCTGGTTTTGGAGAACAGAGCTCCATATTTCTAACCCGAGGCTTCTCTTCTGGTGATTTCCAAAACATTGAATATTTAATCAGTAAAACAGCCAATTTGACTAGGGCCAGGCTACATTTAGTGAGTTGGGGATGACTAAATGTCTTGGAATATCAGAAATATTTTAGAATGCAAAATTGCATAGGAGGCCGAGTGTATTAATATCACATCTCATGAAGTGGACTGTTAGATCTCACTTTCTCCCACACCTTGCAGATCGATTTCAACACGTTCAGCAATGGACAGCTCCCCACTGGCATGCATTTGCAACTTGTTTCATTTGAGCAGTAACATAACTTCCAGGAATTTAGTCTATATAAACACTACATTTTGAAACATTCTGCTTTGTTTGATGGAGAACAGCCTATCCGGGTAAACCTCTTGGCATGAAGATTGAGGAGCGACATGAAACACGACAGTTAAATACCGGATTAGGCAGCAGTAATCTGACTACATCGTGCATGCGCAAACATTGAAGAGAGTGACTGTCAGGCAGTTTTGAGGGGAGAAAAAAACGAATCGATGGACCTCAACCTTGGACCCAGTCAAAATGTAGGCTACCCACAATTAATGCCTAACCAACAATGAGGAGGTGGACACGAAGAGAGGTGAGTTGGGTAGAAAATACATTTTTACAAATGTGCTGTTTGTGGTGCATCATGGTGGGTCGCGCGCGGTGTCAGTAAACCCAGTCCCTCACTCTGTTTCAGAGAGCTCAACCGTCGGATTAAAACTGGTCGTTAACTGGTCGTTATTAACATGGTCATCGAGAATAGTGCTGTTCTGGGATGTATATGATCGTTTTAATAAAATTAAGTTTATAGAAATTGTAGGCTACCTACCAATCTTGGATGTGATGACCTCAATAACACCTCCGATGGTAAATTACAATTTAACATCAATACACATAGGCTATCTTTTAGTCTATTAATTATTGTAAAAACTGCAAACATGGTCGAGTCTGTGTAACTAATTTGTAACCAATGTGGATAGTTGTTGCGCTGCGCTGCACATAGTGGTGACCCAGTTGGCCAGATGTAAATCCGTGCAGCTCTTGTTCTTATTTGTGTCACTGAATTAGGCTATAAGGGCACAGTAGGGGTGCATTGAAGATGGAACGAAAAGTTTCAACAACACCTTGGGTTGGGAGAAAACATATTGAAATTAACTGCATTCATAATATAAAAAAGATAGGTACATTTGCCCTGGTCACAGCTAGGGCACCAGTGGATTTAGGGGGTCGACCTCTGTCAGGGCTGCTCTATTAGCTGAGCTATATCTCTTTCAATTTTGAGGGAAGAAATCCCTTTATTTTATTCCAGAATGTATAGCCTAAATCAGTGGTTCCCAACCTTTTTCAGTTACTGTACCACCAACTGAATTTTGCTCTGTCGGGAGTACCCCTGCCTGAAGTACACCCTATGTGCATTTTACCAGTAGGCCTATGGTCCCATGAGTCTTCACAAGTATCCCATAGGGATAGGCCAAGTACCCCCAGGGGTCCTTGTACCCCTGGTTGGGAACCACTGGCCTAAATGAGCATGCTGCACATGCTTGGAATAGCAATGGATAGGCTATTGTCATTCACCCTCTCAATTGTATGCATTCCCTAGTAGAATAGTGCCTTTTTGTCTACAGTCAAGTATTGTTTTTCCCTCATGTCAATCCCTGCTGAGTGCCTCTTTTCCAACAGTCACAGGAAGACAGGTGGCCTGTCATGTTGTCATATTTCTGTCATGTCAAAGGCTTCCTTTGGCTGTTTGAAATTATATCTGCCTTATTCACTGTCACGCAAAAGCTATGCTCTCCGCTGCGCTCTCATGCAGGATTAAACTAGTCATCTTGTCCCACATTTTATATAATCTTATGAATCCTGGCTTTGGCCAACAAATATTTTTTACATTTGTAGACTATATTTCAGTTGTAGCCAGAGACAGCTATATTCTACCAATGATTTTTGCTGCCTATTGAACTGTTAAACAGAATTGAAATCTTTCTCTAGTTTTGGTGGATGCAAATGAGCTTGTGATGGCATGGTGAAGGGAATGACTGTAACAGCTGGGATAGACAGCATTCAGAATAATGCTGAGATGTGATGAAGTCTGATTGTGATTATAGAACTCCTGTATGATTCCTTTTTTGAATTCCCTGTAATTTAGATAACCAGCTTGGTCAAAGACAGAGCCTGAAGAGGACTCCATGGACACCTGTTCTGGCACATTACACATCACACTGGAGATGGACTGAACCCAAATATTCTCAGCCAACACTTTCTCTGCACTATAGACATCACCTCATCTGACATGATCAAAGCTCTAAATACAGACGCTGCGACGGCCAGTGGATGGATTAATGCCAGCGAGACTGAGTTCCCTGTGTGGACCGGTTGTAGTCCATGCTAACCATGGGCAGTGAGCCGCCACAAGCCGTTGCCCGGCTGTTTGCCTGGGTAAACGGCATGTCCAAGTGTGAGCTGATTGAGCTGAAAGACCTCAGCCTGAATGATCGCATTGAGCTGGCACCAGACCCACCAGCCTCTCTGCCCCCAGCAGCGCCCCTGACACCCAGGCAGGTGAGGGCTCCGGAGAGGCCCAGCCAGGTGGTCCGGCTGGTGGGGGACAGTGTGAGTGTTGAGGGGCCCTCGTGGTTCACAGGGCAGGTTGGAAAGGGACATGACTTCCAGCCCTGCAGCTACACCCAGATCACCTGGTGCGACCTGTGTGGTGAATTCATCTGGGGCCTTTACAAACAGAGCCTGAGCTGTGCTAGTGAGTACCAACCGTGTGTGTGTGTGTGTGTGTTTGTATGTGTACGTGTGTATGATCACTGTATGTGTTTTCAGGGTTTGGGAGTAACTGATTACATGCAAAAATATTGTAATCAGATTCCAGATATTTTTGAAAAACTAGATGATAGCGTAGGGGACCACATGAGCATGGGAAAAAGTTTATTCCAAAAGAGTCGTTGGACTGCATGCATTTCTGTGTTGTGTATTTTGTCAATCAATAAGGAATCTGCAGCATCAGTCAAATGTATATGAGTTAAATATGTGTACTGTCGTGGACAAAAGTTTTGAGAATGACACAAGTATTGGTCTTCACAAAGTTCGCTGCTTCAGTGTTATGATATATTTTTGTCAGATGTTACTATTGTATACTGAAGTATAATTACAAGCATTCCATAAGTGTCAAAGGCTTTTATTGACAATTACATTAAGCTTATGCAAAGAGTCAATATTTGAAGTGTTGACCCTTCTTTTTCAAGACCTCTGCAATCCACCCTGGCATGCTGTCAATTAACTTCTGGGCCACATCCTGACTGATGGCAGCCCATTCTTGCATAATCAATGCTTGGAGTTTGTCAGAATTTTTGGGTTTTTGTTTGTCCACCTGCCTCTTGAGGATCGACCACAAGTTCTCAATGGGATTAAGGTCTGGGGAGTTTCCTGGCCATGGACCCAACATTTCAATGTTTTATTCCCCGAGCCACTTAGTTATCACTTTTGCCTTATGGCAAGGTGCTCCATCATGCTGGAAAAGGCCATCCTCCAAAAGTCTTCGCCTCACTGTGCGTGCAGATGCACTCACACCTGCCTGCTGCCATTCCTGAGCAAGCTCTGCACTGGTGGTGCCCCGATCCCGCAGCTGAATTAACTTTAGGAGACGGTCCTGGCACTTGCTGGACTTTCAACAATAGAACCTCTCTCCTTGAAGTTCTTGATGATCCGATAAATGGTTGATTTAGGTGCAATCTTACTAGCAGCAATGTCCTTGCCTGTGAAGCCCTTTTTGTGCAAAGCAATCATGACGGCACGTGTTTCCTTGCAGGTAACCATGATTAACAGATGAAGAACAATGATTTCAAGCACCACCCTCCTTTTAAAGCTTCCAGTCTGTCATTCTAACTCAATCAGCATGACAGAGTGATCTCCAGCCTTGTCCTCGTCAACACTCTCACCTGTAATAACGAGAGAATCACTGACATGATGGCAGCTGGTCCTTTTGTGGCAGGGCTGAAATGCTGTGGAAATGTTTTTGGGGGGATTAAGTTCATTTTCATGGCAAAGAGGGACTTTGCAATTAATTGCAATTCATCTGATCACTCTTCATGACATTCTGGAGTATATGCAAATTGCCATCATCAAAACTGAGGCAGCAGACTTTGTGAAAATTAGTATTTGTGTCATTCTCAAAACTTTTGACCACGACTGTAGGTACTATGGGGCTGAGCCACTCATTCATTAGTCTCGATTGCCAGTGCTACTAATGGGCTCCAGGCTGTAGTTTCCCTTCGGTAGAGATCTAGAATCAGCTTTCGTTCCCCGAATTCCCCGAAATGTCATAGACTACAGATTGCAAGAACATATCACTTTGGGGTCATATGTTAACAGAATGTGTTATTTACCCTATTAAACACAAAAAATATGTTTCAAGTGAGAATCAGGCAGGTCTGATGCCAAAAAATAAAGGAAATGATTGCCTACTTAACCCATATTTTATTTGTAGTTCCAGTAGGTAGCTACACCGCTACATGGCAAAAAAGTAATTAACTACTGAAAACGCTACCTAGATTTAATTTTAGTTCAACTACTACCAAGCTACTGCAAAATGTAGTTAAATTCACTACTCCCCAACACTGACCCTACAACACCGAAGAGACTCCTCATTCATAGTTGATGTGGTGGACAGAATCAACAACAAGGGGCAGTGAAGACCTACATTTGCTGTGCTGCTGCTGACCCCAATACCACATGATAATGAGAAAGCTGGGAGGGTGAAATCAGTTAACATAACACCTTAGTTTCCATGCACAAGATGAATGATGATTGGCAGAATAAACACATTTGAGGCAAATGGTTTATTCAAAATGTGTGAATGGTAAATGTGACCCATCCCCCCCCCCCCTCTCTCTCTCTCTCCCTCTCTCCCTGTCTGTCTTCTCTCTCTCTTAATTCAATTTCAATTTCAATTTAAGGGCTTTATTGGCATGGGAAACATATGTTAACATTGCCAAAGCAAGTGAAGTAGATAGTAAACAAAAGTGAAATAAACATTAACAGCACACATTACACTCAGAAGTTCCATATATACAGTGTTGTAACAATGTTTAAATAATTAAATAACAAATGGGAAAATAAATGGGAAAATAAATAAACATAAATATGGGTTATATTTACAATTGTGTTTGTTCTTCACTGGTTGCCCTTTTCTCTCTCTCTCTCTCTCTCTCTCTCTCTCTCTCTCTCTCTCTCTCTCTCTCTCTCTCTCTCTCTCTCTCTCTCTCTCTCTCTCTCTCTCTCTCTCTCTCTCTCTCTCTCTTCCCAAAGACTGCAGTTACACCTGTCACTTCCAATGTCGACCGTTTATCCAGTTGGATTGCAGCACAGATAGTAGACTCCTCACTACCGACCAAACAGATGTTTCTGAAGACACTGTAGAGACAGACACTAACGTGGATGTGGTAAGTAAGATATACGTTTCGTTAGGTGTTGCAGTGTGTCTCTATTGTTTTTCAGTTTCCTTTCCATTGTAAATGTTATTTTAACAAAGGAGAGGGAATTCATGAAGAACATAATATATAGCCTGCAGTTAGTAGAAGGGGTAGAAGGGCGTACAACATGTTGTGTTTGTGTATTGCAGAGATAAACCAAGGTCCAAGGTCTGTACTAATCCAACAGAACACGTTCTTGTGTATTTGTCTGTCTGTGTGTGTGTGTGTGTGTGTGTGTGTGTGTGTGTGTGTGTGTGTGTGTGTGTGTGTGTGTGTGTGTGTGTGTGTGTGTGTGTGTGTCTGTCTGTGCGTGTGTGTGCATTTGGGGTCCCATCTTTGGGGGACTGGGGGGTGGGGTAATTGGGATGGGGACTCATAGATCGTCTAGGCCTACTGCTTTTAGAGCCTATAGTCTCAGAGTGCCATATGCTCACAGAGATAGAGATTTTATTACCTACCTCCTGAGACTGCCTGCCAGGACCGCCAGAGCCTCCTCAAGCAATTTAGGAGAGGGGTGGAGAGGAGGATGTTGCTTAGCAACGTCACAATAAAACAGCTGTTCAACTTTTGAACCACAGAAAATCTATCCTTACATGCATAAAGCATCAAATAATAAAGTCAACACATTTTAATATATTATTCAACAGGTCTGTTCTGCTACATCCTTTTCTAGGCCTATGTATAGGCTAGTCTCCTCTTGACAGCACAGGAGCCAGAACAGTCCTATGTGTTAGTTGTAGTTTGACTATTGTTGTTTTTTGTGGTGAGGTCTGGACAATGGCCATATGAGCAATTGCTGTCACAGCTGGACTTTCCACTTGCTAAATGTTTCACTGGAAACAAGGAGGGGCTTGCGCTTATGGTAGCAGTAGGGGGAGGGGCTAGACGCTTATTCAGTCCGTTAATTTCACGGTCTGGAAGGGGCAATGGGTGGGACTCAAGAACCACATAGGACTCCCCATCAATTCTAAATAATGTGAGGGACTGATATAACGGGACGAGTAGAGTAGTAGTAGGAATGGTAGAATATTAGAATGTGTAGTGAAGAGTTTATGGTTAAATGTACCTGTTCAAAGTTTTTCTTGAGTGGATAAAGTTAATTAATTAATTAGCTAGGCTATGATTGTGAGCACTGATGACAATTGGTGAGGGATCCACAAATACGTTAACATTGTAATATAGAGATATGGCGTTAAAAGAGGCAATGGAAAAGACCCCATCATTTGAGATGACTTGGGGCAGCACGACCAGCAGCGGATATTGTAGCCAGGATGACTCGGACTCGGAGCTGGAGCAATTTTTTACAGCCCGCACATCGTTCTTTATCAAAGTCCAAAGGAAAATGGTGAGGCGTCCGTGGCAATAAAAAAAAACTCTGAGAAGTCTGGTCTATGAAGTTGATAAGATAACATACTGTCCCCCCCCAAAAAAAATATTTGCCTTTATTTTCTAATGACTATGTAGCCTAAACGTTTGTGCAATGTCTTTGTTGATAGTCTTCATAGCCTGTTGTCAAAATAATGTCGTTTCTTTAGTTCTGAGTGTAGCTCGCCTAATATGATTTTCTACATGTACATGTTAGCCTACTTTGTGTAATACAGTGACTTAAACAGATGTTAATGAATCTTAAGAGAAGGGGGATATGGCTTTTGTCCCATAGGTTTTGTCCTCTCCAATTATTTGAATAATGGATGTGTTTATCAAATCAAATTGTATTTGTCACATGCGCCAAATACAACAGGTGTAGACTTTACCGTTAAATGCTTACTTACGAGCCCTTTCCCAAAAATGCAGAGTAAAAAAGTTTAAAATAATAATAATAATTAGCAAATAAGAAGAAAAAAAAGGAAACAGTAATACAATAAGATAACAATAACGAGGCTATATACAAGGACTACCGGTACCGAGTCGTGCAGGGGTACGAGGTAGTTGAGGTAATTTAGGTAATATGTACATGTAACATATTCATATTAATTCCGCGCTGAGTAATAGGCTACCACTTAAATAAATTAACTACAATTGTTTCAAGCTGTACAGTTTTCAGCTTATTTGCATAATGTCATGTCATGGCCAATGGCCTACAACAGTCTCAAATGTACCCTATGGCTATCTACTAGGCTATTACATATGTTGTCAAACTATTGCCATTTGATGCAAGAAAGTAACACATTCACATAAACTCTCTGTTACTCTACAGAGTTGTGTCAGGTAATATGCATATTTGTGCAAATGGGGTGCTTACAAAGCTCCACACTGTCCCATTTGTAAATGGCTGTTTTTCCAGCTGGGAATTATTCAGTTTTTGCATGACACACTTTGGAAAATTGGTACAAAGAGATATTGTGCTGCTGTGTGGAAATTCTTAATATGGTGGTTGGAACTGGCAGATATATAACACCAAAGCCTATATTTAACCTTTGTGTGTGTGTGGTGTGTGTGTGTGTGTGTGTGTGTGTGTGTGTGTCCTCACTGACTTCCTGTCCTCTGTCCTTGTTGAAGGCGGGGTTTCCTGATGTTCTTGCTAGTTGGGCTTGGTAGGGAGGGGGGTTGAGAGAGCAAGGCTGGACACAGCTTCCTGCTTGATGCATCTGGCTTTAAACCCAAGGGAGTGAACTCGCTGATTACTGTACAGAAAGAGAGGTTGTGTTATGGGAAAACTTTATGCTAGAGGACATAGGCTACTCTACTATTGTAATACAGTACCATGCACTAGCTACTGTACGCAGAAGGGACATAGTCCACGTTGACTTACAACATGGCTAAACCATATTTTGGAGAGACTTAATCGAAATAACTTGTTTCATTAAAAAACTGTTTGGGAGATGATAAAGCAGGTGTGTGATACAGCTTTAGAAAAACAAGTAGTCTCTCTGCTGACATCTTGTGGTTGGATAGTCAGTGAGCCTACACACAGACCATAGACTATAGGTCCTAGGAGATCGGTTTTGAAACTCATCTTCCTCCTCTATTTAAGATTGAACCTATTGACTGGGGGAAACAAGTGCTGTCTGTCGGTGACATCCAGCAGAAAGTGAAGGAATATAATGCTCAGATCAACAGCAATCTCTACATGGTGCTGGTAAGTGATTGTAGTTGCATGCACACACATACACAAATGTACACAACAACAGATGTACATGTAACAGTGTTGCTTCCGTCCCTCTCCTCGCCCCTACCTGGGCTTGAACCAGGGACCCTCTGCACACATCGACAACAGTCACACTCGAAGCACCGTTACCCGTCGCTCCACAAAAGCCGCGGCCCTTGCAGAGCAAGGGAAACAACTACTTCAAGGTCTCCAGAGCGATTGACGTCACCGATTGAAACGCTACTAGTGCGCACCGCTAACTAGCTAGCCATTTCACACCGGTTACATACACACACACACACACACACACACACCTGTGTCGAATCACCAGTTAACCTCATTCTGTAAATGAGTTGCTGACCCATAATATCCTGTTTCCTGTATACGTATGTGGTAATCTGTAAATTAATATTTGAGCTCCTGAGGCACATTATGATCACATTGTATTGACATGTTCATTGACAATCCATCTAAGGACACTGTGTTCCTGTATCCCTCTTTCAGAACCGAGACGGATCATACACTGGCTTCATCAGGGTCCTTTTTAAGCTGACTCGGCCCGTGTCACTCCCACCCCCTCAGAAGGCGTCTTCACCACAGGAAGAGGAACAACAGGAGGGAGGGCTGAAGCGCCGGACATCTTTCTACCTCCCCAAAGACACGGCCAAACACGTGCACATAAGCTCCCGGACGCGGGCACGAGAGGTCATAGAGGCCCTGCTCAACAAGTTCACTGTGGTGGACAACCCTGCAAAGTTTGCCCTGTTTGAGCGCAGTGAACGTGAAAACCAGAGTGAGTGTCCATAAGCAATGTAACCTAAATGCAATATCATGAACGTGCTCAAATCATTCTACTCAATATGATACCAAACACAATGTAATAAAGTGTCAGTGTCACTCTTTCACCCCCACCTCTCTCTCTCCCCTCCCACCTCTCTCTCTCCCCTCCCATCTCTCTCTCTCTCTCTCCTTTGTCTCTTTCTTTCTTTTACTTTTCTAGTATACCTCCGTAAGCTGTCTGATGACGAGCGTCCGCTCCACCTGCGTCTGTGTGCCGGACCCAATGAGAAAGTCCTCAGTCTGGTGTTGAAAGAGAATGAGACGGGGGAGGTCAATGTGAGTACTCACAATGTGCACACACACACACACACACACACACACACACACACACACACACTAAGGCTCTTGCATGCTCTCAATATTTAAATTAGGTGTATTGAAAAGTGTTGACAGAGTGATTATGTAACTTTACTGTTTGAGTTGCTCTCTCTCTCCCACAGTGGGATGCATTCAGCTTTCCTGAGCTGTGCAATTTCCTGCGGATCCTTCAGCGCGAGGAAGAGGAGCACGTCCGGCAGATAGTCAAGCGTTACACTCTGGCCAGGGATAGGATGAAGGAGGCCATGGCCAGCATCACCACCCCTGGCTGATGTGATGGCATGATGGGTGACATCATGGTAGAGAGGCATACACACTGTTGTTGACCAGCGGCCACCAGGAGCATGGCACACAATGCCACTCTTGAGTTCAAAGTTAAAATGTCTTTAGCGCTGTCCCTGCTGTAGCAGATACAGCACAGCAACCCCTGCAGCTGTGAAGGGCAACTAGGGCCAATAGGGGGTTAGATAGGGGGCGACACCAGAAGTCAGAGATCAATCATGAACATGTCTTTGAGACAGACAGGGTAATAGCAGTGCTAGCTAGGAGAGAGAGTATGGCTATTTAGTGCAAACCAGTAGGCTACTATTATGTGTTGTGTGGCCTGGATTGGGCACTACTGTGGAGTTATCTGAGGAGTGAGGACAGATGATACTGTCATTGACTGGACACCTAGGAGATTTCCTGGTCTGGACACTGCTTAACTGGAGAACTGGAGTTTTTTTACTGGGAACATTGTATGTTGCTGCTCAGTTTTTCTGTGTAGGATTGGGTAAATAAAGATGTAACTGTATTGAGCTGTTGTTACTCTCATATTTCCCCTGGTCATTAATAATGGGATCCTTGAAAGTGTCTGATGTGTCAATCTGTTGCAGACCAGGGTTGTGTTCAGGAGGGTATACTGTAGCAAAATGTTTTGCTATTGAAAACAAAATTCTGTGTTCTTATTGGGAAAGTTTAGGCCTCTCCCCGTTTCAAAAATGTTTTCTTCCCACTGAACATGGCCCAGCTTTCTGGGAAGCCATCTGCCCTAATTAATCAGAGAAATCCTGTTAACATTTAATTAGTCAGTGTCATACATGTTTTATTATGGGAATTAAATATCTAGGGAATATAATCTATGTTGCAATGTGTTCATACTTCCACTTCTAATAAAAAAATAACACATTATCCATGTCATTGAATCTTTCTTTTGTTATCAGTGTTGTTATCATGTCTTACATCACCCACTTTAGAGGAGGCTATTATTTTACTTATCTGCTCTCTCTCTCCTCATGATAAAGAACTTTCTCTAACCTTCCATTCAGTATATATTTTTCTTTACTGGAAGTGACGTAGGTACATGCCATCCATATGACGGAAGTGAGGGAGAGGCTAAAAGCGGTGACTAGCTGGTTCAGCTTAAGAGAGCTAGTTATCTGTGCTTTGAAGACATTCGGCGTCTTAAGGAAGTTGGCACAGCCTAGATTTCATACGACTGATTGACTTCAAGCTGAAATTACTCGGTATGTCGACAGTGAATGTGCTTGCAAGCATGCAACCTAAATCAAAGGGAGACGTTAGCTAGCTGGTTAATGTTACCTTGACAGCAAGTATGGCGTTTTGTAGCTATCTAGCGTAGCTATCTGATATTCTGAAGGCCCTCAGCTACCATATCACCCTCTGACACGATGGAATGTTCTGCCAACAAACTCAAGACATCAACCTGTGTCCAATATGAAATGCAACTGCTGTAAACAGCTCGCTAACCGATAACGTTAGCTAGCACAGCTAGCTAGCTAAATTGGTTTTGAAGGCTAATGCCAACCTCAAGTCCTAACTAACTAGCTAGCTATGCTTTTGTACAGGGAACTAGTTAGATGAAAGACCGTTAACTAACGTATGCAGGTAACGTTAGGTAGTAAGTAGACGATGTCAACATAAGATTCCAGGTAATCTGGCTAATATGATCTTTAGTTAAAACAGCAGCTGCCAAGGAAACGTGTCACCATTCATCAATGTCTGCTAACTTCCTTTCTCTGTAATTCCTTTAGATTGTAGCTACCTACTGTCTTCTACTTTATAAACAACATCCCTGTCTCAAAACCTGTCAACACCTACATCGAGCATCAACTCGCTACATCACTCCTGGGTGCAGTCCGGCCAAGAAAATAATGTCCTACAGTTGAAGATGGGAGGTAGTGGCTCCAAAACCAAAGGATATTGGCCTTTTGCAGGTTCAGGCAGTGGTGATGGCGATCCAACCAAAGAGGGAGTCGACGAACAGTCGCTGGCAAGGCTCAGAAGTTTCCGAAATGGGACGCCCTTCGTGTTTACCAGAAGGAGGTAAATATAGCATCACAAGTAGCTATGTCATCATAACATAAAGCACATGCTACAAGTCAGAGAACCAGCCACTTCTCAGGATTGAGCAAGACTTGTATGTCCTAATGCCTTACGCAACTTTAAACTTAAGCCAATATTGTGCTCTTACATAATAGTGTACCCTTTAAATTGTATCTTTCTAGAAACTTCCCTTCACAATGTCAGTATGCCTAGGTCTGTGTCTCGGGGTGTACACAGATCAACACATGGCACATGTTTGACATCCCTTTCTAGCTCTGTGTGGCGGTGCGCAACGGGAGGGGTTTACCCATGCAACATCTATACTGGGTAGACATTTGTCATGCTCTTATTTCTCTGGACCCCACCCAGCAGTAATCCTTATCTGCCTTCAGCTCCCTGTACTTTGACGAAGATGGAGACCTGGCCCACGAGTTCTACGAGGAGACAGTTGTGACGAAGAATGGCCGCAGGAGGTCCAAACTGAAGAAGATCCAGAAAAACCTCATACCTCAGGTAACAGGCCCTTCTCTCAAACAGTCGGAATACAATATTCAGGGGTGTATTCACTAGGAACCAAACAGGACGAAATGGGGTCCTACCTAAATTTGTCCAATAGTAATGCTAGTTTTTGTTGCAAAATGTTTTGCTATGGCGTGCACTAATGAATACACCCCCGGTATTAGATTTTTCCTGATTAGCCCCCTAGAGTGGATGTCCGCGCCTCTGCAGAAATCTAATTAGCATAATAAATACATCCCCATAAAAATCAGTCAGTTTAAGCTATAGATATTTGGTTGCATCATTTGTTGCATTGGATGCTTCTCAATCCGCCGATGTCGCACTTCCGCATCAGCGGTGAAAGGTGACAGCGCTAGAGCGGTGTTTGTCAGACCATGAGACATCCCTAAAATCGGTCTTCTCACAAAATCGTCTATAGTGTCCGAACGGTTTGGCCTACACACTGATATGACCTCTGTGGAAAGGTGAGACTCTAGAATGCCCAAAGGCTTGTCTGAAGGTCCCCTGGTACCAGTTGAAAAATTAATGGAAGTATATATGGAGACTGTTTAGTGCCAAAAACAAGGGGTTAAATACATGTACAAAAAAAATATATATATATAACTTCCTTTAGATTTTTGGGGGACTACTTGTTCCATGTAGTGAATGTTATTCAATGCATTTGTATGGGCTAATAGCTGTAAGGCCAAAAATAAGTTTTCATCAAATTGTTTTATTTTTTGGATACTTCAAGGGGTCTTAAAATTCTAAATTAAATAGCTTAATGATCCTTGGTATGACCTTCTTAAAACAATTCCATATAGCTTAGTAGAACCCCACCCCAGCTTAGACGGGGCTTAGACTGTAATGGGTTAAACAGGAATTCTATTATCTTCTGATGTCATCTAGTATGCATGATTTTAAATTGTCCCACCCCCAAACCAGTATATTCAATATGGCAATATCCTGATCACATTGCTGTATGTTAGGGGCTAGATAACTAATGAATGATTATGTGCTTAGTTGTGTTTTCTCTTTTTTCTTATAGGGAACCATACATCTGGAGCACCCCTGCATCCATGTGGATTTCCCTGTCGTTCTCTGTGAGGTTTGATGAAGCCTGGTTCCATGTTTTGAGACCAGACTCAGATGAGCCACTGTGTCAACTCGGTCCCCTTGTTTCCCTCGCCACATATACTTTACCCTGAAGCCCTCCACGTACCCTCCTCTAATACGCCATGGTCTCCCGGTGATGATGTTTGGCCGGCGTCCTGACCTGTGAGGACAGATGTGCTGTTGCTCAAAGCGTGTTCAGGCTCTGCATGACCTGTGGACTCTGTAAGGTGTGGCCTGTGTGCAGTCACGTTACACACAGTAGTGAGTGGCCACTTACAGAGACAATCAGTGGTCTGTAAAAGGTGTCGGAGAAGATGGATGATGATGAAGACATCATTCTGCTCCCGTTACCCTCAACCTATTCAATAAATACAATGCAGGTCCTGTGTGTGTTAGTGGAAATGAAATGTGACAATGTATCTGCCTGTCTCGCATTAGTGTGCTCTGGTAGGATGATCCACTGTACTTTGTAAGGAGAATGTAAGAGGCCAATTGAACCATGGGCTGTTAAGTAGAGTAGTGTGTGTCAGAATAGGCCGGAGGTCCTATATCTTTAAATCCTGGCCTAGAGAGTGAATTTACCATCTGTACGGAGCAGCGAGGGGAACAGGTATTAAGGGGTGAGATTTTCCGTTACCTGTTCAGTCTTCAGCGCGTCCAAATTTAGTTGCAAAATTCCAGGAACTTTCAATAAATTCCCTGGTTTTACAGAAATCCCATTTGGAAGATTCCCAGAATGGGCAGGAAATCCAGAATCCTCCAACCAGGATTTCTCGAAAACCAGGGAATTTTTTGAAAGTTCCTGGAATTTTGCAACCCTATTCCAGGGTAATGAGAGGGCTTAACCCATTAGGGCAAAATCCTGAGGTCAGAGGTATAGGAACATTTTAATGGACATTTTACATCCGGGATGGGCAACTCCACTCCTCGGGGGCCAGAGGAGTATCACACTTTTCCCCCCATCCTTAGCAAACATAGCTGATTAAACATTCTAAACTGAAGATCATAATTAGTTGATTATTGGAGTCCGGTGTGTTAGCTGGGGCAAAGGTGTGACGCCAATCAGGCCCCTAAGGACTGGAGTTTCCATCCCTCTTTTACATGTACAAGTTTTTTGTTTTTTTTATGCTGTGTCATGTCTTTATAGTTTCCACCATGACTGATGCTGGCTCTGCTTCTGTCATTTCCCCATGGAGTTTAGACAATTGTTGGCCAATGTGATCTGAGCTGATTGTAATGTGATGTGTTTTATTGTTTGACTGGCTGAAGCTTCTCATAGTAGGCGCTGATCTAGGATCAGTGTTAACCTTTTGAGATCATAGTGAATAAGATTAAATGGAAGGGGGACCTGATCCTAGATCAGCAATCCTACTCCGAGCTGCTTTTTTAAGTACAGTCCCAGGCTTTGACTCGAGTCCCCCTGCGAAAGTCCTGTTCCTTCACTGGTCTGGGCGATATATTTTAATTGTTAATTTATTATAACTGTTCTACAATGGCATTGTTTAAAAAAAAAATCACAACTCAAAATGTATCCAATCGTGTCTCTGTCCCTTTATTTCTTCCATGCACCATTAAACAAAGACTATTCAGATCAGCTCTTTTGCCAATAATTGGGCAAAAGATCAGAATTGGGATACCAGTGCAAACACAGCCGAACACATGTATCCCTTCTTTCAACCGTGGAACTTAGTCCTCTGCAGGGCGTTCATACTTGCGCTTCGCAGAGCTGTTGTCAAGGAAGTGAGTGTGTTTATACAGGACGTACTGTCCCCACCTATCGTCAACCAATCATGTCTATACGGAGTCCTCCGCATCGTAAAAAAATGTGGGACGTGGTACCGAGCTTGATTTGGCCTCCGGAGGATCCACAATTGCATCACACCCTCCATACGGAGCCTCCATGCGCAATGTGGAGTGCCTGGATACAGCCCTTAGCCATGGTATATTGGCCATATACCACAATTCCCAGAGGTGCCTTTAAACTGATTACCAACATAATTGGAACAGTGAACAAGTTATTTTGTGTCATACCCGTAGTATATTTAAGCAATAAAGCACGAGGGGGTGTGGTATATGGCCAATATACCACGGCCAAGGGCTGTTCTTAAGCACGATGCAACACGGAGTGCCTGGATACAGCCCTTAGCTGTGGTATATTGGCCATATACCACAAACCCCTGAGGTGCCTTATTGCTATTATAAACTGCTTATCGATGTAATTAGAGCAGTAAAAATAAATGTTTTGCCATATCTGGGGTATACGGTCTGATATACCACGGCTTTCAGCCAATCAGCATCCAGGACCCAAACTACCCGGTCATTTGATTCTGCAGAACCTTTGATATTTGCCCTTTAACCTCCAGTAGTAGTGATTGTCTCAAGCGTTTCCCCTTGTGACCCCAAAATAAAGGTGATTCCCCCCCCCCTTTATATCTCTGCCAGCCTGGTCTCATAGACTAGACGTAACATAGTAAATGTCAATCCAGGACATCCCAATTAGTATGAAATGTTACGTTTGGTATGGTTACATAAGACTGTTGGTTACTGAAGGCAAAAACCAAAGTAGGGGTGGATGGGTGGGCGTCTAGCGCAAACGTCTAGCAACCCGAAGGTTGCGAGTTCAAATCTCATCATGGACAACTTTAGAATTTTAGCTAATTAGCAACTTTGCAACTACTTACTACTTTTTAGCTACTTTGCAACTTCTTAGCATGTTAACTAACCCTTCCCCTAACCTTAACCCTTTTTGCTAACCCTAACCTTAACCTAACTGCTAAACTTAAGCCTAGCTTAGTATAACGTTAGCCACCTAGCTAGAATTCATAACATATCATACGTTTTGCTAATTCGTAACGTAACATATTGTACATTTTGCAAATTCATAACATATAAGAAATGGGTGATGGACATCCACAAATTAATACATACCATACGAAACTTAACATATCATACTAAATGGAGCGTCTTGTATTTACATACAGAATAATACGAAATGCCCTGAGACCAGGTTTTTTCTGCCCAGCACAACACTGTTGTTCTGACCAACCAATGAGAGCATTGCTCCAAGGGACATTTCCAGATATTAGACAGATGATTGTATTATCAGCCATTATAAGACAGTCGTATTGAAGTGTAGGAAGCTTGCCTTATCTAACGGGTGTACACTTCCAGACCTTTCCCTGAAAGATCAACATTGGCCCAGAGCATGTTCATGTTCACCATGGCACATTCTATTGAATGACCATGTCCACCGACACACACCTCTCTAGCCTGCCTCTCAGGGGGACGTTAATTTGATTTCACAGACCCCATTGGCCACTCTCCCATACACTGGTCTCCTGCAGTCTCATTTCCTTGAGTTAATCCCTGTTCCGAAGACAGGCGCTGAGCTCCCTGGAGACAGCAAGATGGATTTTAATTGGGTGAGGGGTGGGAGTTTCTAATCTAATAATTTATGCCATATGGGCCCATGTATGCTTGTTTTATGCGCTTTTGTCTGATAAATTGCTTCTTGTATCCTCAGTTAACTCTGAGCTCAATGGAAGACGTATAGATAGGGGTCAAATCTAGCTAGACATCACCAGGGCCTTCTAATAATGTATGTCTCTATGTAAATAGAAGGCTCTGGACATGACTGTGCTTGGGTTCTGGGCACGGATGACTCCTGCATTGTCAAGCCATAATATAAAATGCACTGTTAGGGAAGTGATTGTGCTTGTTCGACATTGCAGCTGACATTATGCATTTTCAATAAATTATGACTGACTGACTGATCTACAAATAATATTGAGTAGTAACAATGCAAGGTGATTTGTAGATCAGTCAGTCGGCAGTCGCCTGCAATGCCGGCTGCAATGTTTAACAAGCCTCTTAACTCTATTTTGACAACCAGGGTGGTACAGTGGTAGGGTGCATGGGAGGAGAGGATGGAGTTCATCAATAATGTGAGGGTTTGTTTTTACACATTCTACATACCTTCTCAAGTGGTCCTTCCACTATGCCAGTGTGAGTGATATTCCAGGTAAGGGGGTTGGCCTGTGTGTGTGTATGCCGTTCTGTTGTAAATGGTGTCTGATTGCTTGCAGATGACCCACAGTAATTACACTGTGACTTCATTCAACTCCAGAGCAGTGGATGGACGCCACGGAGGCTGCTGCTGTAGTTTCTCTACCACTGATCGGAGCATATGTAGTCTGGAGTGCACTACTTGAACTCTGAACAACTGAAAAGTTGTCACCCTCATTCACTATATTGTGTCTATGAAAAGTGAATAGTAGAGGTTGCATAGATTGTGAAACAGATTCTAAGGTCACTAATGGCACTAACCTGAACCATTATTTTACTCCAGAGGTTAGCATTAGATCTATCCGTCAGGCTTCAGAGACATTGTTTTGCATTTCACATTATGGAACTATTGAAGGCTTTGAAGTTCTAATGTGTTTACACAAGACTGTTTAGTCTGAGTGTTCCCTTGATCCTGGCACAGTTGGCAGCTGTAGATTGTGCCCAGGCAGTACCAGTACTGTATGTTCAGCAGCAGTGTGTGGCATCATGTCCTTGGCCCTGGTGTCACCCCAGCGGGTACTGTGCCGACGTGCGATGTCACACTGTCACAGCCACAATCAACTAATGTTCCTGTTGTTTTGGGGGGGCTTCTTCCTGTCCTGTAAGGATGTGATGAGAGGGGAAAGAGGGGAAAGTGCAACCTGGGGAGGATGTTACTGATGTCCAAACAGGGTGGAATAAATGACCCCAACTACTGCACAGGAAACAGTAGAGGGCAACTCTCACCAGGGGTGTGGGTATGGATGTGAATGTTTGTATTCGTGGGGCTACCTTTCATTCACACACCTTTCACCTATGTAATATTCAGTAGAAAGGTGTTCAAATAAGCCTGTGCCTTTTGTAACACTCTTCTTTGTGTTCTTTGACCATCTGTATTGAGTTTGTGTGTGTGCAAGGGTCAGCAGAATGGTCATGCCCGCTTCATGCCATGGGAAATGTTTTTCATGCAAAGCTGTCTGAGTTATTGTTCTGCTTAAAGGATAAAAGAACGATGGGTCAGGATCCACTCCACTTTATTGCTTTTATACAAGTAATTATTTTATTTCTTTACCAACTACAAAAAACTCTGAGAAGAGTCGCTGTGTATACTGCGTCACAGGAGGGAGATGAAACAGCGGTGAAGTTTTATTTTATTTTCCACAAAGCTAGAATAATATTCCAGAGGTTGGGTGAAGGGCTATGCAGAGGTGAAATGGAAAGTTTAGTTTTTTGGTCGGATATGTTCTGAACTTCTGAATCTTTCTGAGGGGGACTTTCGAGAAGCCCTAAATTCTCTTTGGGCCGAACGGAAAGTGAACATGAGCGACCTATTTGTTCATGTTGGCTTTTATACAAGCATATTGTTTTTTCTTCCACATAATATACTGTCGTGGAAATTCTACGCAGGGACACTCGAAGTAAATCTTAAATGAATCATTGTTTATTATTAGCGCACTGGAGAGGTTCCAACCAACTCAATGCACCAAGTACACATGTCGATCAGGAGCTCCACCAGGGCAGACCCGTTAGTTCTCTTATATACTGCAGACAATTTATGTTTGCATGATTTAGCTTATTCATCATTCACGTTTGCTTCAGTCATGTGACCGACCAATACTGGGTCATGCATGTGACAGACCAATACCTCACAAGGCTTCTTCTCTCTAAGCTGAGACCTTGAAACTGAGATATCCCTTTATCAAAACAAGGTTCTGGGCGT